GGAATAATTGTTGTTAATATTATTTATATAGCTAATAAAAGTAAAAATATCGGGGCCCCCAGTTGTGACCGTTCCGGGAAGAGTTTCGAAATGAAATATCCTTAACTTTTGTAAATAAGCTATAAGGAATAAGCCTTCAAAATTTCAGACTTCTGTCTACAGGGGAAGTCGAAGAACATAGCTTATATAATAAAAAATGAAATCGGGCCCACGGCCCCAGAGGTATGGGTATTATGAGTTCACTACCCTTCGGTATTTGAATTTAGATAATCAAATGTATGTATATTAAGTTTGGTCAAGATCCATTTTCTATTCATGCAGCAGTATTTGTTGATCATTTCATTGATATAGATTATATAGGAAAAATTGAGATTTTGGCCCCCTGGCCCAAAACGATATAGAGTTTCGAAATGAAACATGCTTAACTTTTGTATGTAAGCTGTTAGGAATAAGCCTGCCTAATTTCAGGCTTCTATACACCGGGGAAGTTGGACCATATAGCTTATAAGAAAAAATGAAATGGGGCCCCCGGTCCCATTGCTATAGATATTAAGAAGTTCAGTACCCTTCGGTATTTGAATATGGCTATTCAAGAGTATCTGTACTTAGTTTGGTCAAAATCCATCAATTCATGTAGGAGTACTAAGGCTATTGATATGTCTATTGACTATATTAGACAAATGAAATGGGGCCCCCGGCCCCAGAGAGATGAATATCATGAGTTCAATACCTTTCGGTATTTGAATAGGGATAATCAAGAGTAACTGTACTCAGTTTGGTCAAGATCCATCTATTAATGGAGGAGTATGTGTTGTTAAATTTATTTATATAGCTCAAATTTGGAAAAATACGATTTAGGGGCCCCCGATTGTGACCGTTCCGGGTAGAGTTTTGAAATAAAATCTCCTTAACTTTTGTAAGTAGGCTATAAGGTATAAGCCTTCAAAATTTCGAACTTCTGTCTACAGGGGAAGTCGAAGAATATAGCTTATATAATAAAAAATGAAATCGGGCCCACCGCCCCAGAGGTATGGGTATTATGAGTTCACTACCCTTCGGTATTTTAAAATGAATAATCAAGAGTATGTGTACTAAGTTTGGTCAAGATCCATCTATTTATGTAGGAATATAAAGCCTATTGAGATTTATATAGCTCTTAAAAGAAAAAAAATGAAATAGGGCCCCTGGCCCCAGATGTATGGATATTATGATTTCAGTACCCTTTGATCTTTGAACTTGGATAATCAAGAGTATATGTACATAGTTTAGTTGAGATTCATCTATTTATGTAGGAATAGTAAGCTCATTGATATTTATATAGGTCATGTAAGAAAAAATGAAATAGGGCCCCCGGCCCCAGAGGTATGGATACATGAGTTCAGTACACTTCGGTATTTGAATACGGATAATCAAGCTTATTTGTGCTGAGTTTGGTCAAGATCAAACTATCCATGTAGGAGTATTTGTTGTTAATTTTATGTATGAAGCTCGTGTAAGCAAAAAAGCGAACTTTGGTCACCAGATGTGACCGCTCCTGGTAGAGTTTCAAAATTAAACATGCTTATCTTTTGTAATTAAGCTGTAAGAAATAAGCCTGCCAAATTTCAACCTTCTATCTACATGGGAAGTTTGAGAATAAAGCTTATATAAGAAAAATTGAAATGGGGCCCCGGCCCAAGAGGGATGAATATATTGTGTTCAGTACACTTGGGTATTTGAATATGGATAATCAAGAGTATGTGTTCTAAGTTTGGTCAAGATCCATCAATTCATGTAGGAGTACTAAGCCTATAATAATAAATTTATAAAGCTTATATTAGAAACAATTAAATGGGCCCCCGGCCCCAGAGGGATGGATATTATGCTTTAAGAACCCTTCGGTATTTGAATATGGATAATCAAGAGTATGTGGATTAAGTTTGGTCAAGATCCATCTATTCATGTAGCCGTAAATGTTGATCATTATATTTATACAACGGATACTGCAAAATACGTCATTTTGGGCCCCCGGCCCTAAACAGTATGGAGTTTGGAAATGAAACATGTTTAACATTTGTAAGTAAGCTGTAAGAAATAAGCTCTCCAAATTTCAGGCTTCTATCTACAGGGGATATTGGATAATTAGTGATGAGTGAGTGAGTGAGTGAGGGCTTTGCCTTTTATTAGTATAGATACGCTTTGGTCGCGCGATTCTAAGTACACGAATCGAATCAATAATAATTAAAAACATTATAAAATGTCTTTCGCCCATTTATTGAGTAAACAAATAAATATTTTACACAATTTTCTAACATCTTTTAATAATTTAATACAATTTAAAATAATAATTTTTTTGAAACTAAATATATCAAAACGCAGGAGCACTCAAAAATAAATATTTTTTATATATTATTTTTTGTGGTGGGCTCACCACGCTGTACACACATTTAAAAAACATAACTATGAACTTAAAAAGTGACATACATAATTACATTTAAATTAAAATAAATTATATTCACTCCACACATTGAAAAAACTGTTAACACGGCAAGCCATGGGCGGCTACCCAGCAGCATTGTTTATTGGTCAGTGGGAGAGTCAGTCAGGGTGAGTTTAAAGCGATGTGAACTTGAGTGCACTTTTGAAGGCTGTGATGGTCGGCATATTGCGAATGTGTAGTGGAAGAGAATTCCATTGTTAGGGGGGCGCAGAAAGAGAACGATCGTTCACCGTATGTTTTCGTGTGAGTCTTGGGGACAGAAAGAATACGCGCGTCTGTGGAAAAGCGAAGCTGTCGAAGGGGTGAATAGACAGAGAGAAGTTCGGTTAGATAGGAAGGGGAGGAATTCAAGAAAAAAGTTTTCGCCGCGTCGTCACTAGCACCGCCACTTTAAATTTAAACACGATTGTTCTATAGCACAAGGTCTTTTATGTGCTGTCTATGATTTCAGGTTTATCTGCTACATTTCTCATCAGGCTGATCTACTTGAGGAAGTTTATCTTACCCATCAGTATCAGCAGACTAATGGCTTTACTCTTGACGAAGTGGTGACCAACCTAGAGGCCTTAAGATTGTTTCTGCACGAGAAGCGCTATCCCTTGGTGGAAAATGCTACTGAAAAGCCACTTTTGAAATCAGAACAATATGGAATTTCGGTAAAGAGAAGATTAGGGTTTAAGAAGAGACTGCCAGGAGAACTATTTTCGATCCTGCCCTATATATAGGAGAGTCAAGTTTTTCTGATCATTCTCTACTATCAATTGAAAGCGATGCGGTAAAGGATAATGATTTTGATCAAATGATTGACAGGTTTTCAGCTTGGAAGACAAGAAAAAGAAAATTCTTAACGAATTAAATTTAGTGTAAAAATAACCACTATAACTTAGTGTTGTTACAGTTCTTTAATACAGTGACCTCTTGACCTTCAATTACTTTTTGTGTGTGTTTTTTTCTCATTGTTATAGTGTTATATGGTGGACTTAGTTAATCAAGATAAAATCCATCGTGGAAGTCTGGGGGAGAGGGGTGATGTCTAACTCAACCGATTTAAGTTGTTGTAAAATTAACAAATTTCTGCCATCATTAAAGACATATTGCACACCAGGGAAGTCCCATTCTATTCACCATTATAAAAACCGAGTGATCTTTATTTAAACAATTGACCGAAAGGTCAGACGTACATCAGTGCAGTCCCCCCCCCCCTCCCCCCGAAACCATGACAGCTGTACATACGGAAACCCCACGAACCATGAAACATTGCATGGATGTGAACGTTACTTGAAAAAAAAAATGAATTGAATCACCACCTTGAGCAAATTTTTATTTCTTAACAACTCCACATTTTAATTTGATTTGTTTCGTCCCGCGCGCTGATGATCTTTTTAAAAAAAATTTAACACTGGTTGTGACTCATCTAGTGGCTGGAAGATGTTTCCTGTTTCAAAGCGTTGTCAGCCATTGGCTGGTTTACAGCTTCCAATGTGATCGTCCTTCTTTTCGCGGCTCTTTCTTTGCTGGCATGTTAGATAACTCTCTGGCCTCTACCACCTCTTGGGCAATAGGAACGGCCTAAATATTGATTAGGGTGGGGGGGGGTAGGGAAGAAAAATCTAAATTAACACTTGATTAAAGTAAGTGTGTCTTATTTAAATTATTAGCAGCAATGTTGACTTCTTCAAGTGTTAATTATTTAAAAAAAAAATTCACTTTACGAGACTTAGCATACAATCAAATAACTTGATTTTTAAAAAAAAAATCAAATAAATGCATCCTATAATTTGTTCAGTATAAAATAATAATTAAAAAAAAAACTATCTTGGAATGTGTCGTTTAATTAACAATAAAAAAACAACACCGCTTTATATTGCCTTTAAAACCTGCTTATTTTGTTAAAGCCAATGTCTCTATAATCTTGGAGACCGCTCCTGGAACAGGGCTAAAAAAATAAGTGTCTAATTGTCATGAAATAAGTTACGATTTTAAATGGAATTAAAATAATGCTCTCTTCTGAGAAAATCTGTAATTGGTAAAAAGGTTATTTTAAACAATTTTTTTTTTTTTGTAAGCAGTAACAGGTTATTTGAAACATCTGTTTTATTTGTAATTGTTAAACAGGTTATTTGAAACAATCTTTTTTTTTGTAAGTAGCATACAGGTTATTTGAATCAATCTGTTTTTGTTAACTAGTAAACAGGTTCTTTGAAACAATCTGTCATTTGTAACTATTAAAGAGGTTATTTGAAACAATCTATTTTTTGTAACTAGTAAAAAGGTTGTTTGAAAGAATCTGTTTTTTTGTACCTAGTAAACGGGTTATTTGAAACAATCTGTATTTTTGTAACGGGGGAAACAGGTCATTTGAAACGTAAGAAGTCCCATTATGATGATATGGAGATTAAACAAGAACAATGTTCTTTTTATAATTATTAAACAAATCTTAATATGTTGGCAATGGCCAATGGTCAAATGTCAAAGAAGCTCATTACAGCGGGCGATGGTCTTGGAAAAGTTAGACAATTTCTCACCCTAAAACTTCGACGTTGTTGATTGACACGGTAATCCAGGTATACAGGTGATCGAAGGTGACTTTATTCACCTTGTACTTGACGGTGTTCAGACCTTCGATGTCTTGTCGTTTGGCGGCACTTTTCAGAAAGATTTCCCTGAACAGATTGATGGTCACCATTTTCAGTATTGATTGTTTTATTATTTTTTTTTTTAAATAAAAAAATCGTAATCAGTTGTGATTATTGTAAAAAAAAAAATATTTCAAAAACCAAAATTTAAAAATCGCTTAATAAGAAAATAACTTATAAGAAGAATTTAAATTAGAGGTCATAACGCGAGACAAAAATGGCCTCAGATATTCTAAGTACTCAGGAGAATACAATATTCTACAGTGGAAACAACACGCACACCTTAGGAACAGGGTTTGCAGTCAAAAGAGTTACAGTAAATGCAGTCATTTGGTTTAAACCAGTGATTGAAAGACGGTTTTCTCATTTTCTCATAAATTGTGAAGTGAAATTTGGACGTCAAATGAGACAACTTTAAGAAACCCTTGCAATCCTCCCCTCTTCGATTCGTGCAGCTTCCTCATTTTTCCTCATTTTCCTAATTTTTTCTCACCGAGTTTTGTTTCAACGATATTTAAAACTCAAACTAGTTTTTAAAAAAATATATATTTAAAAAAAAAATTAATGAAAGGATTTACAATGTAGACTATAGTCGAATAAAAGTTAAACTAAACTTAAATCTGGAGCAGTACTTGTAAGGATTATCTGCGTAGCCTTCATCTCTCGTGTGTTTGATCATGTCGTACTTGGCTGTCTTCAGGTCGTAACGAGCGACTGGAAATCCTTTACGTCTTAACCTGTCAGGTAGAGAAGCTTGTTGGCAGTCGTTAGATGGGATGTGGTCGTTAGATGCGACGTGGTCATTTGATGTGATGTATTCGTTAGATGTGATGTAGTCGTTTGATGTGATGTAGTTGTTGTATGTGATGTAGTCGTCTGATGTGATGTAGTTGTTTGATGTGATGTAGTCGTTAGATGTGATGTAGTTGTTTGATGTGATGTAGTCGTTAGATGTGATGTAGTCGTTTGATGTGATGTAGTTGTTTGATGTGATGTAGTCGTTAGATGTGATGTAGATGTTTTATGTGATGTAGTCGTATGATGTGATGTAGTCGTTAGATGTGTTGTAGTCGTTTGATGTGATGTAGTCGTATGATGTGATGTAGTCGTTAGATGTGTTGTAGTCGTTTGATGTGGTGTAGTCATTTGATGTGATGTAATCGTTAGATGTGATGTAGTCGATTGATGTGATCTAGTTGTTTTAAGTGATGTAGTCGTTAGATGTGATGTAGTTGTTTTATGTGATTTAGTCTTATGATGTGATGTAGTCGTGAGATGTGATGTAGTCGTTTGATCACATGCTCACCTGAGGAAAATGTCGTCATCCTCCCCACCCCACCCGACGTAAAGGTTGGAATTCCCGTTGACGGTCCGGTACTGTTCCCTGGACATTCCAACGACCCCGCCAAAAAAGTCTACGTACGGGGGCCTGGATGGTAAAGGATAGAAAGCTCATTTCATTGGTCAATAACAACAACATTAAACAAAAAAGTCCTTTATTATTACCTCTACCTGTGATTACCTGAGCTGCATGCAAAAGCAATCAAACAATAGTCACGGCTGCTTAAGAGGGGGAGAAGGGGAGACACTGACATGTACTGAAATGTTCAGACACATTATGACATGTACTGATATTTAATGACTTGTGCTGACAAGTATTGACAAGTAATGACACGTACTGACATGTATTGACATGTAATGACACGTACTGACGTGTACTGACATGTGCTGACATGTACTGATACGTACTGATATGTACTCATATGTATTGACATGTACTGGCATCTACTGACATCTACTTACATGTATTGACATATATTGACATGTACTTATATAAATATATATATATATATTGACATGTGCTGACATGTATTGACATAGAACGACATGTAGTGATATGTACTGACATGTACTGACGCGTACTGACATGCAACGACATTTACTGACACGTACTGACACGTACTAACGTGTCCTGACATGTACTGACATCTACTGACATGTACTGACATGTGATGACATGTATTGACATGTACTGACATGTACTAACATGTACTGACATGTATGAACATCTACTGATCGGCTTGCCGTCCTCTTAGCTGTAACATGTCCTCAAGGAGTTTATTTTTATTGTTTTTTGTGTCACTCCTTGTTTGTCCCTGACGAAGGCATCTTGTGGACACCTTCGTTGTTTTCTTGCGTCCTTTTCCCCAGGTTTTGCCCTACCGTGATTCACATATTTCCTTCTACCTAACACTGTTGCAGTATTTCACTCTCCTTATTATCTTAAAATTGTACGCCACTGAGCCTTTGCAACTTACGAAAAACAGCAGACAACTTATTCAACAAATGGGAGGGAAATATTTACCCTGAAAATATATGGACCAACTAAGGATGAATATGAGTAGAGACTACGCACCAACCCATGTATTGTGTGTACTCTACCAGCATACCACGAAAGTAGCGGAGATTTTAAAAGAAGGGAGCTCATGGGGGGAGGGAGACACTTGTTTTAAAAAAGACAAATGTCAGAGGAGTAAACAGGGTGCACCAATCAAAACCCCAGGCGAAAACGACTCGAAGGCAGACCTAGGCTCACATGTATAGACTATGTGGAAATATATCTACAGCAGCTTGGAATACAAGCCACAAGGGTACATGGATGTTAACTTTGTAAAAAAAATAATTTTTTTTGGTTAAAGTTCTTGTTACTACTTACTTATAGTTAAATTTATTCATGGCGACGGCAAAGTGTCGTGGTTGCGGACCGCATCTGTAAAGGTTGCTGTCGTTCAGCGGAATCAAATCGACGTCGTGGAAGATGAAACAATCGAATCTTGCCATCTTCTCCGCTTCCAGGAAACCGATGTTCATCACCGCCCCTTTGTTGAAGGTTGAAGTTGGACTCTGAAGGAAGGGGGGGGGGGAAACGAGAGGTACCCAAAGAAATAAAAAAGTAATAATATTTAAGTAGAGCCCCTCCCCCAAAAACGTTTTACAGGTGGAGCCCCCTCCACAAACCCCAACCAAACTTTTTGGAGGCTAAGCGGAAATTTTTGAGAAGGGGATTGCCGGGGGGGGGGGGCTTAAAAATGTGTAATCGTTCCTTTTAAAAAAAAACTTGAATGTTGATCATCACGTCACCCCTAAACTCTACAAGTAGACTCATGAGCGCCCTCAATTTCCGCCCTACTTCCCGATGAAAATGAGCGCCCGATTTCGGTATCGATAGACACAATGCCTAGTGACGCAGCTACTATTAGTGACGCCATGGGTGGACAAATATTTTTGCTGTCCTCCCTTTCCCGACACAAACTCTGCAGTTGACCGAAAATACCACAGCTGCATATAAAGAAAAAGTGACATCTTGGTGGACCAGCCCATCCTACTCGGTGGAGCAGCCCATCCACCTTATATCGACGCAACTAGCAGGTGCGTATCTACAGTGTTTGGTGTCATTTTTACACCCCCCCCCTCAACTCTCAACATGATTTTTTTTCAACCATTAAATGCCACCAAAGTCCATTTGCCCCCCCCCCATATGCCCCTCTTAGCTACGCCTCTGGCGACTTGGAACTGGCACAGCACACCCAAAATTTTTAAGTGCCCCCGGGGAAAACTGTCTGAAAGAAAGACTGAGACCAATTAACAATTTACTCTTAAATTCATTTAAATAATTTGAGTCGTCTATCCCGTCAAAAGAGGCAATAGTAGCATGTTGTTCCTTAGTATCATAAGCCATGAACTGAGGTTGTGAGGCCAACTCAAGATCGGGTTCAGAGTCATGAGTAGGTCCAATATTGCGTTCCCTATCCCCATAGTCGTCAATAAAGTTATTTTTAGTTGCATAGTTACAAAACCCATTATATTGTTCAAAGGGGTTCTCACAGTAAATACTGACAATGGCATCTATTTCTTCCCCCCTGACTCTCATCATCGTCACTGTCGTTGTAGTAATATGCCTGTCTCTCCCTAATAATTTTCCGTCCATATGCCTCTATTTCCGCCAATCTAATATCTTTATCTATAGTTTATCTAGCTCGTGTTGTCTTTGTTTAGTTATATCTATACGTTCCTGCTCTCTCGCCATACGTGATTCTTCTCTCTCTGTTTAGCTGTCTCTATTTTGAACTTATCTAGTTCGTTTTATCCCTGCATCTATCTCAATACGCTCTTCCTCTTTCCGTCCAGCCATAAGTTATTTTTCTTCCTATAATTCTTGTTCTTCAAACTTCACTCTTATTTACGCCTCTAGTTTCTCTTCCTAGTTTCTTCAAAACTCCATTTCTCACTGGCACAGCCAGCCATAGTAATACAAATTTATGGGGGAGGATATAGTGAATAATGATTAACTCTAATTTAATGGGCCAATCACGGTCTTTAAAACCCAAATATGTCCAAAAAGTTAAATTCTAAAAAAAGGGTAAAACATTTCAATATACATTAATTTGCAAACACAAAATGTTTTCAACCACACAAATCTAAATTGTCTGGGTTGTGGAAATGTCCATCATAAAAAAGCGTGAAGTTAAATACATATGAATAAATGACACTGAAGGAACTGGGGTCACGGGGCTTAAATAAGTGTGAAAGGTTCTCAAGCAGAGGTTGTTGGGAGATGTTTAAGTTAAGTGTCGATAGTCCTCACTAAAACTTTAACAATTGTCACTAGATGCTGGCAATTCACGTGACACAGTCATTAGGGTGTAGGTGACTGGACAGGGTCACGGAACATCGACAGTTCACCGGAAACTGGACACGTCATATGCCCTCGCCTACATTGGATAGTTGATGCTTTAATGCTGCACAGTGCGTAGGTGGGTCGCCGTTGCAGGACAGGGCGTTGGTAACTGCATACTGGGAGGGGGGGGACGTAGTTATTTCACTGGAACCGGACACGACTTTGATGGCTCACTACCAGGCAGGACGTATATAACTCACACTGGAACTGTACTGGACGTCGGCATCTTGATACAGGGCAGTAAGTAGTTAACCTGATACAGAGCAGGACGTAGGTACGTCACTGCAACTGGACGGGAAGTTGGTAGCTCAACACCGGGCAGGACGTAGTTAACCTGATACAGGACGTAGGTACTTAACTTGAACTGGAAGGGACGTTGGTAACTCAACACAGGACATGACGTAGTTAACGTGATGCAGGGCAATGCATAGTTAACCTGATGCAGGGCATGATATAACTAGCCTGATACAGGAGGTACGTAGCCCTTGAGTCACTGGCGTTTGTAACGTAGACAAACTTGATACACGGTGGCAGCGGGGCTCCGACCATGAACATCAGGATCTCAAAAGCAGATTGCAAGATTAGATAAGCTCGTGTAGAAAACATTGTTCTCAACTCAGTGAAAGCGCAATGTAAAGAATCTACGAGGCACGCGTTCTCAGTTAGGCTCTTCTATGGCAGGGAAGTATTGGATCACAAATGACGGGCACAAGCGGAAACTCCACAGTGTCCACCGAAGATGTCCGTGCCGCTTTCTTCGGATTCGATGGTACGACAAATTGCCCCAAAATCTCAAAATGTGACTCATATTCTCGACTTTTGGAAAGAGGCGTCTGGAAAGTTTTATGTAATTCTATTTCAAAACCTTTCCATTTAACCCGTTACAGCAAAGCGTTGCTAAAGTTCAAAGTGCTTGAGCGCAACATTTTACTACGCTGAATTGTCGTATCCGGAAATTTGATCGAAAGAAATTTCGTCGACCGTAAATTGACCGACGGTAATTTGATCGAACGGAAATTTAGTCGAATCTTTTTTTAAATTCAGATTTTGCGTTAAAATTTGGATTCAAATTTCTTTTTGAACGCATTAATTTTGTTTTACTACATAGCATATTGCGTTCAAAAAGAAATTTGAAGCAAAATTTTAACGTGTGAACTGAAAAAAAACCAAATGATTCGACCAAATTTCCGTTCGATCAAATAACCGTCGATCAATTTACCGTTGACGAAATTTCTTTCGATCAAATTTCCGGTTTCCCTGAATTATGGATGTAATTTTACGAGTTTTAAGTCACGTGGGCTCCCAAAATAAATTTGGAATGACCAAAAAAAAAATGTCCCATTCCTTTGATTACCTGTTCAATGACGAAGAAAGTGACATCTGCCTGCTGTCGTGTCAGAAAGGGAAGGAGATTATTCAAGATAATGTGCAGGTGAGAATAACGGTTCTTGTAAGGAAAGATAACCGCAAGTCGTTGTCTGGGTACACACCCCTTGGGGCGGAGGCGGCCCCCTTTTTCCATTTCGGGAAATAATTTGATGAGCTCCTCCTTTGAGATGTCGTCATACATGGCACTTAAAGGTCCAACTTGAATGGATAAAATGAATGAATGAATTAGTGGTAAGGGATTGAATTAGAGCTAAGTGAATGAATTAGTGCTAGGTGAATGAATTCGTGCTAAGTGAACAAATTAGTGCTAAGGGAATGAACTAGTGCTAAGTGAATGAACTAGTGCTCGGTGAATAAATAAGTGCTAAGTGAATGAATTAGTCCTAAGTACTTAAAATATGTTGGATAATATATTGAACAGAGCTGTCGCGATAGAAAATTTGGTTGGGGGAGGGAGGTGGTGAGCGAGGCAAGATAGAGTATCTGAACTACCTTTGTGCAGGATTCTGTACCTTAGTCTGAGAACTGAGGGTTCATTTTTATTATTATTTTGTTTTCATTTTAATTGTCATGGTTTGTTGTTTTCATACAGCAGGCTTTTCGCCGATTCATTTATATCGAGGACCATCGAGTCGTCTGGTGACTGATGACTTGCGCGGATGACTTTGTTTAAAGTTCTAGACGACCAGGGATGGGTTCTGTTGCAGGAATTGTCATTGTTTGCGCCCTACGGGACTCCAACTCCGGGTTTGAATTCAGAGTTTCCTTCTCTTAGATGAGTTGCCGACCAAGGTTAACGAGTCTCATCCACCCGGGGTGATGTTTTTGCTTGACTGGCCTTTGGCGGGACTTGAAAACCAGACCACCAACTTGAGGTTTGCTCAGTTTAGACCATTTGGCCACCCAGTCACCCTAGCCAAAAACTAGCCAAAAAAAAAAAAAAAAAAAAAGGCAACTTTCGGCGCTGAAACCGAAGACTTATATATATATATATATTAATTTCAAAATTTCTTCTTACCGTGTTTTTTGTTGTTTTCTCATTACGAGTCAATAAACGGAATAAACAGATAGGACTATTGGTGGAAAGTTAGGAAGTAAACATATAAGAAATTAAGAGAGATCGAATGTAATCGAGTGAGCGTTAAGAACGTATATAGAAATAAGAGGGTAATAGACAGATGGGAGGGTAATAAATGAAAAGTAAGGGGATTTTGCGATAAGATGTGACTTTAGAACAACATTACCAGATTGTGTGATTGGAAGGTTATAGAGTTTTAGGAAGATAATAAAGATACAAGTTGTTTAAAATCGGAGGTTCAGAAGCAGATAGAAAGATAAAAAGAGGTGAAAGAGAGACAATGAGGTAGAAAGCTATATGAGATAATCAGCTTCTGGATGTAGGTAAAGATGATCTTTCTAGTGTAACTGGGTATAACTCTAGGAATTTTGATGACAATTTTAAAACATTTTTTAATCCGTTCGGGACGGAGTCTTATCGGAGTCTCTGCGCCAAAAGGACGCCGCACTTTTTACGAGCTTGGCACTCGCAATTTGTTAAAATAAAAAAAATAAACTATTTCCTATACATGTATAAAACTATATACATTCGTGTAGGAATTGAATATGAACTAATACAATCTTTATGAAAAAAACCTAAAATCTCATCATTTATGCAAATGAGCTGTCATGATTTGCATAATTCATGCACGTAATTTTTTGTTAAACTTAGGATAAACATGACTTACTTGTATCAACTGTGGGAAATTGTTCATGGATGAAGCCTGAAAAAGTCCTCACACTTTTGTTTTGGGAAAACAAGGACCGTGGAGGCCTTTCACATATCTCTGACAAACGATTCTACTCCCTTTCCTGCACCCCAGGCCTAAAGTTAAAAATGACTTTCGCTCGAAATCCCTAATTGAGATTTTTTTTTGTTGTTGAAATAAAGGAGAAGTAGGTTATTATGCAGCTTTTTTCGCAGAATATTAGTCATATAACATACGATAATAGCAAAACGTCGAGCAATAATAAATAGCGGAGAACCAGCCTAGAGACAGACAGTCTTATTTCTGGTAGAAGGTCGAAGACCTCAACCAGTTTCGACAGAAAACCGAAATTAATCTTTCGAAACAGAAATTAAACCGAAAGTGAACTTTTCTGTTTCGTCCAAAACAGAAACTAGCCAAAAAAAAAAAAGATTAAAAAATGGCAACTTTCGGCGCTGAAACCGAAGCCGAAATTCGGTCGGTATCTACTAGGAAAACTTCTCTTAAGCTGGGTGTTACTGAGAAAGTTGTCTGCATCGGTCTGTCCCATGAACACGTGAGTGATGTTTGGTGAATAAATTGCATAAGGTACTCCAATGGGTGCATATGACTTGAGGCATATTTATAGGACCTATATGGTCTAAAAATTCAGAGGGGTCAAGTCTATCCAGTTGAGGACCCTTAATATTAAATCAAGTGTTAACAACACTATCGTGAACGTCATCAGTTTGATCGACTTTATTACTTTTCTGGTTGTTTTGTTCAGTGTCAGATTCACTGCTAGAATATCAAAGTCACTAAGGATAGTTTGTTCAGTGTCAGATTCACTGCTAGAATATCAAAGTCACTAAGGATAGTTTGTTCAGTGTCAGATTCACTGCTAGAATATCAAAGTCACTAAGGATAGTTTGTTCAGTGTCAGATTCACTGCTAGAATATCAAAGTCACTAAGGATAGTTTGTTCAGTGTCAGATTCACTGCTAGAATATCAAAGTCACTAAGGATAGTTTGTTCAGTGTCAGATTCACTGCTAGAATATCAAAGTCACTAAGGATAGTTTGTTCAGTGTCAGATTCACTGCTAGAATATCAAAGTCACTAAGGATAGTTTGTTTAGTGTCAGATTCACTGCTAGAATATCAAAGTCACTAAGGATAGTTTGTTCAGTGTCAGATTCACTGCTAGAATATCAAAGTCACTAAGGATAGTTTGTTTAGTGTCACTGTCAGACATTTGGGAATTTTACGATGCAACTTGCATCAGAATTTTTTAAAAACTAAATTCTTGAACTCAACAAAGCTAGTAAACAATAAACGGAGGCCGCCATTAAAATGCCAGGATGTGCAGGAATATGTAAGAAACAATCTTATTAGCTGGTACGAATACCAACAAACCGATCTCGAGGCTTGAATTATAGGGCTGATAGATCGACCATCTGTCTTTCCCCGCTACTCATCCGGGCCGATAGATCGGCCCAGTCTTCTGAAGAGGTTTAAAAGTATAAAATTACTTTAGTCGTATAGAGCCTAGAGAATGTTTTACAAAAAAACATCAAGATGAAATTTCTAGCTGAAGTGGTTCAAAAGTCATAATTTAAAAAAAAAAGAAAGTACCTTAAAGCCCTTTTTCCCTATGGGGTTTTCCTCAAACCTTTCGAGACCCTTATTTTGGTTTTGTTTTACGGCTTTAACATTATTATGAAAACGAGGCAAAAATATAATAATTACGGGGAACATAGTTGAATATGAGTTCTTCGAAGTAAGGCTACAACATATAATATTAGTTTTTGTTAATATTCCGCTAAAAGTTTGTTGTTTTTTTTTTAAATCTTTAAAAGTGTCATTATTAAAAGAATAATATTTGTTGAATCTTCAGTTTATAAAACTTTAATCAACTAATTTTGTTAAAAAATTATAGAGTTTTAAAATTTTTAATTTTCAAATTTCTGTAGAATTTTTAAACATATATAAGAATATAAAACAATGAAAAATGAATTATTTGATTCATTTTGTTCAAATTGTTGATTTTACTTTTTATTTTACCATTTTCCATATATGTATTTTAGTCGATCACTAACATGACAAAAATTAGTATGTCATTTATTTTAAGCTAGACACTTGTTTTACAAATCAACATTGGCGGTTGAATCAACTTTGGCGGTTGAATCAACAATGGCGGTTGAATCAACTTAGGTGGGTGATAGAAATTAAAATAACTTCCAGTCATTTGCTTGAGGTAAAAACACGTTTTCACATTGTTCTTTAATAATCTATAAAGTAATTCTTGGATTAATGTGCCAGAAATTGTGTTTTTTCTTTGAGAATACTGAGGATTATATAATAATTCTCTTGTGGAATTTGTGATATGTGATTAAACAAAGGGATAATTTAATATTATAGGTAAGTGAGTAGTTTAAAAAATTATTTTTTTAAAGAATCACAATTTTCATTAAAATATCTTTACTTACTTAATAAATGATGGATCCTAGAAATAATAAGCTAGAGTCGGGCCGGACCTGTTCTTATAACATGATATACCATTCTAGGCACCCCTATTGGATAAAGCCTTAAAGTCATTCCATACGTACACAGTGACATTATCATTTGTGAGTGTTTAACGTGCTTCACTTACGCATCGATGCCGGCTTCTCGGGACAGAACTTTCTGGGGTAGACCTGTTGAAATCCACTGGCAAGTCGCACTATCTCATGCTGTGACTTTCCCTTGACGTCATCCTTGATTTCGCTGGGAGTAGAAACTGTAGTCGTCATTGGCGCCACTTTGTGAAGAATTATTTAAATTTGTGTCTTATTGGCCTCAGAAGTATTATTTACATTTTTTTTAATCGCCAAAATTGACAAAATGTAAATGGGAAGAGAAAGGAGGCTTTGATAAACTACATGCGGTTGGCGGAAATTTGATCGAAAGAAATTACGTCGACGGTAAATTGATCGACGGTAATTTGATCGAACGGGAATTTTGTCGAATCTTTTTTTTTAGTTCACACGTTAAAATTTTCGTCAAATTTCTTTTTTAACGCACTATACTATCTAGTAAAAACCAAAAAAAAAAATGCGTTCAAAAAGGAATTCGAAGCATAATTTTAACGTAAAAACTGACAAAAAGATTCGACCAAATTTCAATTCAATTAAATTGCCGTCGATCAATTTACCGTTAACGAAATTTCTTTCGATCAAATTCCCGGATACGACTACACACGTGTGTGATACTTTAATGTGCGGCCAACTAAGTCTTCACGTGACGAAAAAGTGTGCAAGGTCACCTTGTCAATGACTCATTGGGGAAGGAACAATGTGGTCTGCTTGTCATTGACTCACTGGGGAGGGAACAATGTGGTCACCTTGTCATTGACTCACTTGGGAGGGAACAATGTGGTCACCTTGTCAATGACTCATTGGGGAAGGAACATTGATG